TAGTAATAGTAATAATAATAATAACTTTATTTACGTGTCAATGAGATTTAGCATTGCTGCTAATTGGAGACACCTAAAACGAGTTAAGCACTGAACAATGCGCTGAACCAATCAAGACTGGAAACAACAGGTGTAGCTGACGCGTTTTGCAGAAGACATCTGGGAGCGAGCCACGATTGGTTTTAGTTTTACTTCTAATTGGATGACAAAGTGGTGCAAGTTTTTTTTTAAGCCAATCGCCCAACGTGGTGATGCAAAAACCAAACCAAATGCTCGAAACTCAGGTGAAAACTGTCATATTTTCATAAATACTCAACTGAGATTCCGTCTAAAGGGATGGATGTGGGGAAAAAAATATTCCGGCGGGATGAGGATTTGCTCAATTTGATATGAAAATTATCTGGTGATGTGGTTCATCTCAAAACACTTTTTTCTCTTTGTTTGTTTGTTGCTTTTATTGAAAACATTAAGTTACTAACTTTTTTATATAATGGTTATCATGATAAGCGCCACATAATAATAAACAAAAACCATAAATTTTCATGATTTCAAGTAAAATAATTATTGATCAATCATTTCAGACCAAGATTGTGCGAGTTTTACTGGCACATCAGTGGTATACACATACGTAGGAAGAGTTGTGTAGCCGTGTATTTAAAACCGTTATAAACTCAGAAAGATCTCCACTGCTTATTTAGTTATTCATTCATTCATTCTGTTTATTTTGCCTTTTCACTTAATGTGCAGTATTTATAAATATTTTACTGTGAGGCGAGGTGACCTCTAGAAATCATCAGGCTTTTAGTTGAGGCCACCTCGTACGTAACAATACGGTTACATAAATAGTGCAACAGTGTGCGGCTTTGCCAGTTCAGTAATTATTTTACTAAAAACTCTGGCAGTTTTTCCTTAAAATTGGGAAAACTTGACAATGAAGTTATTGTAACAGGAAGGGAATTCCAGCTCTTTCGACCTTGGTAAAGTTACTCTGTGCTCTCGTTGGTTTTAATAATGAAAGCGAACTCAGGACAGATAGAGATTTTTTAAAATAGTTCCATAGCTTTATGTTGTACTAACTGTGGCAAACTTCATAACCTTTGAAGTTCGAACTGGACTAACTGACCAACTAGCGATTATGCTCTGTACTGTTGTCATTTATACTTACATAAAATACGACAGTCGTTTGACCATAAAACTACGTCGGTCTTTAAATTTATTAAGGTTAAACTGAAATAAAATGGATCTACTAAGCGCCAAAAAATCTCGTTTTCAATGATGAAACAATTCGTCAAAGGGGTCTCACGATTCGAATCGAAATGCCCCGTCAAATGGTTTTACAGCCCTAGGACCCGTTTCTTGAAGGTGCCGAAAAGTTTTCGCACCCGAAAAGCCGTAGCAAAATCTCAAAACTTATGACTTCAGAGCTGTTTTATTCACATATTCTTAATATGAACAGAGGTTCTGTTCATATAAGAAGTTTCAGATGTATACACCTCTCTATCTATAAATACCGATTAACTAAAAATGCCTTTGCGGACCCGAAAAGTTTCCGGGGCTTTCGAGAAACGGGCCCCAGGGGCCTGTTTCTCGAAAGCCCCGCAAAGTTTTCGGGCCCGAAAAGCCATTTTTAGTTAATCGGTATTTAAAGACAGAGAGGTGTATACGCCTGAAACTTCTTGTATGAAGAGAGCCTCTGTTCGTATTAAGAATATATGAATAAAACAGCTCTGCAGTCAAAAGGTTTGAGATTTTGCTACGGCTTTTCGGGACCTTCGAGAAACGGGCCCCTGATCTCAGTCAGACTAAGGCCCCGACCAGTGGCGACCACACTACGTACGCCGAAGGAATTTGAAAGCAGAGGTTTCACTCTGAAAACGCATCAAATGTTTTCCGTCCACACTACGTAGGAGGAATTAAAAACGCAACAAAGTATTGGTCATTTTGGATTTGTGTTTTTATGAAAACTCGGGCAGGGAAATCACGTAATTATCGTGATGTTTCAAAATGTTTTCCTTCCACACGAAAACGAAAAGCCGGAGTTTTCAAATTCCTCCGGTTTGAAGAGCGTCTTCAAAAGGCTGCGTTTTCGTGACGGATTAGTTTGGACGGTAGACCTAACCGTAGAAATAAAGCGAACTTTGAACTTACAGTAACAGAAATTCTCAAAATAAAAATTCAATAACGTAAGATTCAAAATTCCGAGAAAAACAAATATTATAAACCAATTTTTTTAAAGAATTTTAGGTTAACTCCCGCCTTAGGGTAGTTTGCAAATCATGTAATATGACCTAACCGATATATTTACAATAATATAGTATTTAGATTATTCAAACAATTATATTACTAAACATTATTATAATAGTAATTGAGTATTGATTCATCACATCTATTCATTAAAAATCAATTATTAATGATTAAATAATATTTTTTTCTAATAAATAAATCTATAAATGCATTTACCTTCAACAGAATAACAAAAATTCTTTACGAACATGCAATACTGTAAATATTCCCCCACACATTTCCAGATTTCCATTTGTCACTGCAGAATGACCCTGATTGGTAACTGCTGCTAGTCTGTTTTTCTCTCAAGTCAGGCATGGAGAATGAGTTGAGACACTTTCCCCTAAGAGGGATAGGGAGAGAAATTGTTGCTTTTTCTTGTCTCACCCCAACCCCTATTAGGCCATAATGTCCCTTTACATGAATGCTCGACTCTAAGAGAAGAGACCAGCTGAGAGCAGCCTTAGGACCAGGTCAAACCCTGTTCAACTTCACATGAGATGAACTAAATTGCAATTTCAGTCGATCTAAACAGGTAAAGCTCTACTATTGGGTCAAACATCGAACTTAACTCAAATTTACATCAACCAATACCTATCTGTTTGCTTTAAATGGATAGAACTTGTTGGTCGATCTAAATTCAGTCAGACGAACTCAGTTGAGTCAAACATCCAACTTATCATGAACAGTAATCTCATGTGAAGTTCGACGTTTGACCTGGGCCTTAGGATCCTGATCAGTTCAGTTAAGATTTTAGTTGGTAGTTTACAGTACAAATAAACCTTGTTGTATTAGTTGCCCGAAGTGGGCTGTTAAACGAAACATATCCTGCATCTCAACCATTTGCTTTCATTATCTAATTTCCAGCTGTTTATACTTGTAGGGTTCACTTGCATTTCCGGTTCTGAAAGTTCTTATAAGGTATAGTAAAGCTGTCAAATCCAACAGGACCCCAGAGATTAATGCTTGCCAGAACTCTTTAGGGTGGAGGTAACACACAACAGACAAGCAGGTATACAAGAGTGATTTCTTCCAGTTGTCCACGGCCAATATGTATTTCCAAAGTTGGTAACCACAACTCTCCTCTCTGACACAGAAAGAAACAAAGTTAAGTAAACTGTGTTAAGAAGTCAACATAATTTTGCTGTGTGGTTTCCTTTGAAAGCCTGATCCTTAAATCAGACACCATATGATAATAATTAGCCTCCCACGCAGACAGACTTTAGGCTCATCACCCAATCTTTCTTCCTCTACAAGGGGGAGGAGTGCATGACAAGCCATATAAACCTAAAGGTCACATTAAGGTGACATCTGTTCCTGTTTCTTATTAAAAGTTAACTTATTTGCACACATGCTAATGCATTCTATTCAGTAATTTTTCACTACTCTAATTGTAAATATTCATGTTTATGTAGATAACATGTCATCTAAAAACATTCAGGCTAGGTAAAATATGAAAATTTGGCATTGCAATATGACATGCAAGGAGGGACGCTATCAGCTACGAGGAAGAATAAGGAAATATCTGCTTTTCCTAAAACAAGTGCACGTGGTAGGTATGGCATATGACAGAGAAAAGAAAAGAAAATTAGAAATAAGTCACTTCTCAATATTTATTCTATGCAGGCTATTGACACCAGATTTTAAAAGGCTTAGAAAAGGAAAATGTTTGACAAGTAAATTTACTGGTAACTTGCCTGGTCGGACAAGTATTTTATGGGTTTTACTCGTCCCATGTGCCAAAAACAACTCTTCTAAGACGTGTGGATGGTGAAGACTTTTTGCCCTGGAATATTCCTTGACATTCCATAACACCCCTTTCCCCTCAAATAGTGGGGTTCAACTTTATGTTCAATTAGTATGGTGTTAATTAGCATATAAATGGTTTGGAGATAATTTACATGTATAGAAAAACTTCCAATTTACCAAAGGACTGCGTCAATCTTTCAGACAAAGTGTTGGAGTCTGCAATTTTCACAAGTTTTAATTCCTTGTGGAAGTGCAGTGGCCTCATGGTTAGTGCACTTGACTCCAGATCGAGTGGACTGGGTTCGAGCCCTGGCCAGGGACATTGTGTTGTGTTGTTGGGCAAGACACTTAACCCTCCCAGTGCCTCTCTCCACCCAGGTGTACAAATGGGTACCGGCGAAATCAATGCTGGGGGATAACCCCATGATGGACTAGCATCCCATCCAGGCAGGAGTAGAAATACTCCTAGTTGCTTGATACTACAGAAACCAGGATAGGCTTGCGCCTGAGTAGCCACTTGGCTCATACGTAGACTCTGCCTTACCCAGATTACTCCTGTGCTTTAAACCGATAACTAAATTAAATTTTAGTTGATCATTGACTTGCCAAGACACTCAGTGAGCAGGAAAAGTTGCTTGCCTGACAGGGAAATCTACTTGCCTGGAAGCCTAATGAAGGATTGTTCTTCCCTGGAAAGAGGTGAAGATTTTACAAGAGTATTGGCTAAGTGACTTCCATCTCAAAAAAAATTAATTTTCATCTATTATCTATTATGTAGCATGAATTGTAATTTTTTAAACCAAACTAAAAGGCGATCATTAGCTTCAGTTATTTGATTATATAAAAAGTACTGATCAATACATACTTGCAACAAACACACTTGTTCAGAATAAAAGTAATTTCAAAAAAGCTGACGGCAAATCCACATATCCTGAAAAAAGTAAAAACATCCTGCTTAGAAACATGCTACAAACTTTTGTTTTTTTTGCACATAATGCCTTGAGCTGCTTGCACAATGCATGTACAGTATGTATGTCAGATTAAAAACATTCCTACTTGCAGACACTTTACTCCGTGACCATAACATGACAAAGCCTATCCAAGGAACAACTGGATTATAACACTTTGTCTTCTGCTTTGAGCTTTAAAGTCATAAATTTAGTGAACTCAAGATGAATCTTCAATGAACTAGATTTTTTCTTACTTTGCAATAACTCCAATAGAAAATGAACTACATGTATGTGTAACAGACTGTTTCACTTACATAAGGTATGCAGCTATTCTTTTATCATCCTTGTCAGCCAGAAACACACCTGTCCACCAAAGGGCTGACAAAACATTAAAACGATCAGTTAAAACCCTATCATCCATCTCTAAAAATCTGCCTAAAACTAAGGTTAACACACACAAAACTGAACATATTCATTCTTATTTCATGTCCCCAGAAATAGAGTCAATATAAATAGAATTAAACAGTAACAATACGTGTAGCCTGCACATTTCTTGGTTGTGTTGAAGTGCCCCATTAACAAAACAGACATTTTATATAAGCTAATACTTGAACAAGCAGACTGAAAAAAATTCAAACTTGCAGCCGCATGAAAGATGTGCAGAGCAGGAAGCCATCATTCCGCAATGTTATCTTAATCAGTCCATGTAGCACCATGGGAGGTATAAGGCCTCGCAACATCACGGGCTTATAATATCGAATGAATTATTGATAAAACCTTTTCAATCGTCTTTCAACGATTCAATCTGATATCCATGAATAACTCCTAACCAAGTATTGAAATTTAGAAACTACTTTTGTTTTGTCTCCTGTAATCGTATTGCATCATTCGATTAAAAAAAGAGCCTGGTGCAATTGTAGCTATTCACTGATATTCGCAAAACATAAAATCAATTTTAACTTACCTGTACTGGTAAACAGGCCCACGATTCGAGTTATAGAAGTGAAATGCCTGATGATAAAAGGTCGCTCTTCTCTAACTTCCATTTCTGAAAATATTCAGAGATTATCCTTTTTTGGAAGGATCCGAAATTAAGCACCTTCGACCGATAACAAAACTGGAAATTTATTCCAAAGACGATCACATTTGGTAAGGAAATGAGCAAACGACTCAAAAATTGTTTTCGTGGCAGTCAATTTACAACAAGGCGTCCCTTACTAAGCGGAGACCTGGGTACTAGTGTTCATTTCCTCTCGGCCATTTTTCGCGTTGTTGCGCCCCAACTAACTGAACGCCTGGACTGTGGACCCCGTTTCACTTTGAGGAGCCTGCAAATGAAAGTTGATGATTGTACTAAAGAAACTTTGGCGGTAAGATAGGTAACAGTGAATCGGAAGAAGATATCTAACTGATTGAAAACAAGGCCATCAAGACTGTATACCTTCAGGAGCCCATTGAACAATTATTATTAGCGAGCCCGTTGGTGCTATCGTTCTTAGCCGGAGCGTTACTTATACTTAATGATACTTTACAGGCAAAATACTTAATTATACTTTACAGGAAAGCTTTAGACATGCGTGCTGAACAGTGTTTCCTGTACCACCTTATACGCCCCTTATGGTGCGTATTCAGCTATTCAATGGAACACTTATGTAAAACCTTTCGATACACTCCCTCTTCCTCACCCCTCCCCCCCCCCCCTTCGCAGGGCTGATATTCGTTTTCCCGTTCCGCTGGACAAGGGTAACGAAGGCTCTGGAAACGAGATTGTTGGGCTCTAGGAGGCCTTATTTCTCAAAACGACCAAATAGACGGATCCGGCTAATATTTCAAACACCATATCTCCATTGTGTTTCAACCGAATGTTGTCAGATTTTCAAGATTGGTGATTATTGTAACAACCGCAACAAAACAATTTCAGTATTATTCAAACTTGTAGGTAATTATTTCCAGGCCATAAACGTCCAGGATTCATGATTTTTTTTTTTTTTTTATCACGTGGTGTGGTCGCGGCCAATGAAAACGGAAGATAAAATGTAACGAATGATCACTTCGTTTTACAAAATTGTTGTTTCGATAACGTGCAAACAAAGCGGATACTTTATCATAGTCAGAGATTCTGTTAATGAATCGTTCAGCTGAACATGCCCAGCTATGTCTTTTAAAAACACACATTTAGTTAAATTTTTTGATTACAATTCCTCTTCTAGGGACAACTCACTTTAGTCTAAAAAGCTTGCCAAGTAACTCATTTTTTTCCTTGACAAGTTAATTTTAAATGTCATACAAGCAGGCATTATACCTATTATGCTAACTCGGTCGAAAACAGGCTTAAAACAATATACATATGTTTTCCTTGTGTTTCTGTCTCGTTCATAGCGGTCAGCCACTAGGAAAATGCTCTTTAACCAAGTCTGCTTTCTAGAGTAAAACAATTGTCTACATTAACCGGTTCGATTTTCTTCTGTTTTTCTGCGATGGTCCAACAACGGAGAAGTCTTTTGATTTCTTTCTTTATGTCTCTCTTAAAGCAAGCATAAGCTACTGGATTAATGGCGGAGTTTACTTCCAGAAGGGGTATTTTGTATTCCTGATCATCACACGCCTGGTCAGAATTAAAAAGTAACACGAAACTACAACGCAAATAAAACGCGTAACATAAAAGGAACAGGCTGATAACTAATGCCATCATGATAACCGCAGACCTCTCGGGACTTTTAAAGAAAACCTGATGGTTAAAACGTAGTTGTTTAGCCAAGGTGCGAGCAGTTTGATTGTGTTTCCAAACAACACGTAACATAGATATAAAACAGAAAATCATGATTAGACACGGTAAGAACTCAAAAAATAACATTAGTAACCACACGAAAACATGAAAGACAAGCGGTATTGATGAATTACGCCAAACCAGGCAAATAACCATGACAAACGTAATTGGGACTGCCCAAGATAAGCAAAGCATTTGGATGACGCGTTCGCGCTTCATAAAACTCAAGTATTTTAAAGGTTTGACAACGGCAAGGTAACGATCCAATACTAAACTGCATGAGTTCATCACAGAGGCGTACACAAACGGCCACCTGACAAAATCCATCCCGTCAGCTAAGAAAGCTTGGGGGTTGCAGCCAGTTGCCAACTCGCAGAAGAACAGCGAAGGAACAGCGCTCATCCCGACAAGCAAATCTGCCACTGCGAGTGAAACGACAAATGCGTTGGTTTTGGTGCGCAGCTGGCGTTTGCTGAAAATAAGAAAGATCATAAATCCATTTCCAGTGATCGCCAGGATGGAAAGAGACCAGCTAAGAATCCAAAACCAGGTATTCATTTCAAATTAGTACGTAGATACGAATTTCTTGAATGGGAAATTCTTTAGTACCGAGTTAATTCCTTATGTGAATTGATTACATGTTGTGTATTCCCCAGTAAAATATAGTTTCAACTATTCCATCTGGTCATCATTTTCTGTATGCATATTCATATTCAGATGACATACTCAAGTACGAATCATAATTACAGTGCCATGGTGTTGTTTAAAAGAGCAGGCAAAAACCTCGTTCAGAGTTGGTAAAAAAATTTCAAACTTACCGACCTAACGAAACACGAGTACAGTAGCCTCCGCCCAATTTTTTTCGTGATCATTGCTTACAGAAATCTAACATTCTCTTAAAAAATGCATATATTTTTGTTCCTAATTATGTGAGGGAAAAACGGCTGAACTTTTTTGAATTACAAATCTGGTGACATCTTGACAAGTTCATCGATCAATACTGGGTGGAAGATATATCCTCAACTTTCTCTTCGTGGGGTTTCTTTGTCTCGAAGCTAAGTACCAAAGGAAACATAAATATTTTAATGTCAATCACACATCAAAATTTTATTAAATATTTCACCGTGCGAGTACAAAAAGATTGGAAATAGAAAATATGACTCGGTGTTTCAAAGGAGCAGATAGGTTTTCCGCTTTATCAAATCACTTCCACCTCACAATAAAACTTTTCTAAGGTAAAAACAAAACAAAACCGAGCGAATAATTGATATGCAAACCAAAACCTAAAAACAAAACCAAAACCAGACAAGGTTGATCATGATTGCCTGAGAGAGATTAACGTGACTGCTAACGGCAAACGACAAAGGTCGACGTTTTGAAGATGCATCCTTCATGAAGATCAGTGTCAGTGTTTTTCGATTTTTATGACGTCAACATAAACTCAAAAAGTAAAACTGACAGTGAATTTTCTCGCGTTTCCTTCGGTGAATTTTTTTTTAAATGTGGCTCAGTTGTAACCACTTACAATTCCTATAAAATACCCTATTTTTGTTAAAATCTCTCAGAGCTAATCTTATAATGACAAATTACAAAATATTGGAAAAACCGTCTGAACAACCTTGACTTTTTACCAGTTCAAAATGTCAGGCAATATCATTTCCATGATGTGGCAAAGTATGAAAAAATTTCACCGAAGGAAAGTATAAATATTAATGGCATTTAAGGCCGAGATGTTGCCATGGTAACGGCCTCAATCCAGAAATTGACAATAAAAAAAAAGCCTTATTTTAACAGCACCCATACTGGTGTAAAGCTCTACAGGGAAAACTTTAAGAGAAATTAACTAAGCTTCCTTTTCTAACTCGCGCTCCATAGGGAGAGTGTACAACATATACAAAATGGTGGCTTTTTCTAAACGGCTTGGCTTGTGAGAGACAAATCATCGTTTTTTCCTCAGAAACGAGTACCGGGACCTAACGATTTTTTATTTAGTTTGAATGCAGAGGTCACCTTCTTTCTTTTCAGTGAATATGGACTAGTTTCTATTGCAGAGTAAAAATTTATCTCGGAAAATGAGAACATAGCTAGCCCTCATAAAAGATAATATGCGATCCCAGATCACTGTGTGCTTGGCACATATTGTATCCCTGTCGACTAAATGTGAGTGCCTTTATCATGAAACGTACATCAAATTGCTCCTTAGCATTGATGCAATAGATCCATTGTTGTATTTCTCGCTGAACTTTCTCCCTATTTTTTACGGTGTATGGTTCAAATATTAATGTTTCTGGAAGCAGATAATTTCAGGATGGGGTTAATTGAAGGTCCTCCTGCTCCTAAACGAATACTGGACCCCCCCCCCCTTTTTTATTAGTTTATTTTATTAGTAGAGGGGTTTTTTCTCCATCAGCTAGATGTTAAGACACATTAATAAAGTTCATGTACGTATGTATTTCAAATTTTAAGTTCTCTTGATATAAGCAGCCAACAGGTAAAGTTTGAGTTCTATTTCGAGGGAATTAACTTAAAAGACAAAAATACAAGTAGAAGCGTCCTCTCTCTAAACATTGACTATGGTTGGCCTACACTAAACCTGTCGGAATAAAAATAAATTCATTTTGACCTACGTGTTAACTAGTACGACTACAGCTATAGGGGCAATCAATCTTAAATAAGCCCAGTCCCAGCCCAGTATGTAAGTAAGCTCGCTATTTGTTTAATATTTTGGACCAGTTAATTAGCTATACTGAAAATATTTTGTAACAGCTGATTATGACTCTGTTCCACAGAAATTTTTGATGAACCACTGTTGATGTGGAAATGCCACGACTGACACAAATTAACTGCAAAATGTTGCAAGCGGAGCAAAAGTAAGAATTTCACTACAGCAATCCATGCCAAATAACAACTAAATCACGGAAACTCGATTCAACGTACATTTTCCTAGTGGTCTTTGAATACAGATATTTTTCACCCTTTCTTTGAATTCACGATCGCCAACCAGTAGATCAACCTCGTTCCCAAGTTCCTCTCTCGAGAAAAGACCCTGGGAACGAGATTCCCAGTAGATTCGCTTGCGCAGACTGCCAATTTTTTGACGCAAAACAGGTTGGCCAAAACACTCCTGTGGCCTTGTCACTGTCTGCTGTTTTCTTCTTCTCTTGAGAGCTGACACAAGGACAACGCTATTATAAATCAAAAACTGACCAAGCAAGTCGATCTCTATGCGGTTCAGACTACACACGGAGGGTCAGTAAACTACAACGTTTTTTAAGTAGCTGTGCTCAGTTCATCACTGGCATTAAGCAAGGGCTTAGAAAAATTGTGCCCCGAGTCCGGTCTCAATGGAAATAGACTGGTAGTAGCATGCGAGCAGGCCGGCTAGCAGTCCTTCTTTTGCAGCTGTTAAATCTGCGGAGAGGAACACAAAAACCGAGCGAGCGAGCACAATATTTTTGCTCTTCTTCGGCCATTTTCATAGAATACAATCTTTCTCAAAAAATTAAAAGCTCACTATAAAGATCACAAATGCAAACAAATTTAAAAAACATTTGTTACATATACACCAATTGTTTTGTTTTAGACATAATTTCCTTGATGCATTAAACTTATTCGTGTCCTTAGGCTGTTCCGAGCACTTCTTACATACCTTTCCTATTGTTATTGTCTTAATTTAGTCAGGCTTTTTAACACTAACAAAATACATTAGTCTCTTAATAATGTCTTTCTTTATGTCCCTCTTGAAAAAAGCGTAGGCTACAGGGTTCACAGCAGAGTTTAAAACAAGCATAGGTACTTTGTAGTTTCTATCATTGCAAAGGTTTCGCACATTAAGAACTGATAGGAACGAGCAACGCAAATGAACTGCGTAGCACAAAAGAAACAAGCTGATTACAACAGCCATCATTTTAACAGCGGATCTTTCGTGAGTTTTCAACACGACGCGATGGTTGAAACTCAACTGTTTTGTGAAAGTGCGCGCAGCTCGATCATGTTTCCAAATAACACGTAGCATGGATGCAAAGCACAATATTAACATCACACATGGCAGGAACTCAAAAAGTATCATGATCACCCAAAGAAAAATGGGAAAGAAAATAGAAATTGAGAAAATGATTGAGGCCACTAGTAAAATATGAAAAACAACTGGAACTGCCCAAGACAAGGAAATAATTTGAATGACATGGCTACGCGTCATAAAAGTCAAGTATTTTAAAGGTTTCACGATGGCAATGTATCGATCCAGTACCAAACTACACACGTTCATAACGGATGTGTACGAGAAAAGCCATCGTATCACATGGACCCAAGATAACCAAGCGTGTGGTGAATCACACCAATGTGCCATCTTGCAGAAGAAAAGGGACGGAACAGCGTTCAGCCCGACAAGGAAATCCGCCACTGCGAGCGAAACGACAAATGCGTTGGTTTTGGTGCGAAGGTGTCGTGTGCTGCACACAAGGAAGATGATAAATCCGTTTCCAAATATCGTCAGGACACAAAGAGACCAGCCAAGAATCCAAAACCAGGCTTCCATGTTTCTGTTCAATATATGAGATATCTTGATGATTATCAAGTCTAAAACTTTTAAAACTGTTGTACTAATCAGTGATAATCCACTTGAGGTCTAACACCCTCCTGTATGTATGAATAAAATAACTTAAAATTCAAAATGCTGAACGCATCAGCTTTCAGATGTCACTATTGATAAGCGACTGACAAAAAAACCTTCATCAGAACACACTTTATCCGTTGTCACGATGTCGAGTGCGACGGGTAAAAAGAAAATATACTCCTGTCCTGGCAATAATATTTGTATTTCCTGTTTATTCTCACGCTATTCCTAAGAGAAACATACGCATACCATGATCCTTAAAGCTAAATGAAATTCAGGTTCCTCTCTTCGATAATATTCATATCTAGCTTTATTTCCTAATATACCTGTTTGTAGATTTTAAAGCCGTAAACTTATTAGTTAACGGAACGGTTAATGGCTTTTTGTTTGTTTTGGCTAGGTCTGGCAAGATCATGTTAAATGTCTCCTTTGGCAAAGACACTAAACTAAAAACAGAAACGGTTTTTCCGTTCTCCACTTTAATACTTTTTTTATTTATTCACTTGATCATCAATAAAGTGGTAGAAGGTATATGTATAAATCGCACATTCCGAGCACGACAGTATATTAAAAAAAACCATCTGGTTCGGTCTGTCCGTTTTCGTGTTAAAACACTCTTAACATGTGCAAACAAATTGAACCCATATTGCTAAAAGCAATAAGGGCTGTTTATTTTAACTAAAAACTGAAGTAAAACAACACGAAAAATGTCAGTAGTGAGTTGTAGTTTTAAAAACGTGCTGAAAGTGAGGTTTTCATACACACTTGTATCATCTCAGTGATAAGCAATTTTTTGTACTGAAAAAAGTAAGATACATAAATGGATAGACATGAACAGAATTGAAACCATCTCAGAAATACCTGAGTAGATGTTTACACATCTGCTAATCATAACGTCAAAATATCCAGATATGCTAAAACTGTCTAGCATCTACGTATCCAT